GATCCTGCCTCCGAGTGCGCTGGCTGGTCTTCATGGTGTCTTGAGGTGTAGCATTGTGTGGCTAATATGAGAAAGAGTGCTGCTGCATGCCAAGGTTTGAACAACCTTCGCAAACATTATGCCAAAGCCGTTTACAAGTTTGTGTCTGGGCGCACCTTCCGCGGGAAGTGGGGGGGCAATTTGAGACGGTATGCACCACCGTGCCCCGGCTGAGTTGATGGCCCATATGAGCCGTGTACCTCGGGAATGCTCCGAATTCAGCAGCTGTCCAGCCGCTTTCATGCTCAGGACGCCACCCAACACAGGCAATTTGGGTCTGGCTGCCATGGGCCGTTCGTCAGATTTCCTGAACGTCATGTGGCTTGCACGGTGCCTTGCGACAAGATGGCAATTCGATGCTGAGGTCTGAGGTAATCTGAGGTTGTCATTCGAGTTGATGCATTGTTCCGTGTCTCCAAGGAGCTCCACCAGGAAAGGCGACCTTCTCAAGCCAAAGATCCCTTCGCACTTCTGACTGCCAGTCTGAGGCAGACGTAGTAGTAAGACCGTGCATTCGGATGCACTAGTCACTAGTGGTGAGTGGATGGCACGGGCACGGCAGCATGATTGGAGCACTTAGCAAACCTAGCGCCTAATCCACCCAATAGCTGCCTGCCAGCCAAAGGGCTTGATGCATTGACCGCGCTTTACTGGATGTGCATGCGGCAACTACAGATTCGAAGATTGGCAAACTCGGCTCTTCCCGTCCATTGCTTGTCGAAAACAGTCTGGCCAACTGCTGCCAGGGAACTCTGCTCGCCTTGAGATCGGCAAAGGTTGCTACAGGTAATGGCTGCAGGCAATTTTGTGCTCAGAAGGGATCCGCCCCACTGCCGGGCCCCTTCCAAGCCTTGGTCGTGACATGGCCTCCACCTGCGAGGCACTGCAGACGTGTGGTACTGTCTTGCAGCAAGCTCCTGCTCAGGTGCCGACAAAAGCACGTGGGGGCAAGTTCTCCCAGTGGGTTTCAAAGCAAGTTGTCGACGAGCAGGCACGAGCTGTGGAGATCTCCAAGCTTTGCAGTCGTTCATACTGGAAGGTTCCATCGATTAGCCCCTCAACACCACCAGCTTTCTTTCCATCGGACGAGCCTACAGAAAAGGAACCCTTGGCTTTGATGCTTGCATGCACCAAGGCCAAGTTTTTTTTACTGAGAGTAACTGCTCTCTGCCTGGGGTGGTTTTCGAGTAGATGTGGTAGCAGGTTGGGTTGGTGGCATGGACATGTGCACAGGAAGCCGATGGCAAAGGATGAGGAGGAGGCTTTCCGGCAGTACATGGACAAAATTGGCGAGAACCGTGATGGCACGAGCGCAGGCAGGAGATGCAGTGATGTGAGCACAGCTTGTTGGAACGTGTCTCGTCTTTGCAGGCTTCAACCGCAAGGCATTTCCCTGGTTCACCCCCAAAGAACCAGCAAAAGTGCCAACCGTCTCGGCTGAGGCAAGGTCGGAGAAATCGTGGGTGAGCACGTGAGCCTGCCTGACTCTCGACGAAGGTTCTCGAAGCAGCAATGGAATTCAAGCCAAAGCCGCGGACTTCGACTGCAAAGCTTTGGGAGGTGGACTCGGAGGCAAGCTCAAGGGCAGGTCAGACGGAGGACTTGGAAGAAAGGGAGCGAAAGGTGTGTCGGCACGCTTCGAGCGACGACCAACAGGGCCCAAGGGGAACGCCCTCCTTCCCGAAAGCAACAACGGGTACGCATGTTCAGGGCCAATTGGATCTCCAGCAAGCAAGCTCTCGGCTGAGTGTAAGGTGCGTGCAGTGATGCACGCAAAGCCTCTGACTCAACAACACAAGGGGTGAGGGCCTGAAGGATACCACATTCGCCTTAGCCCCTAAGCCCAGCAGAGAGAGCAGTAGAAAGACAGAAGCAAAAGGCACGATAGACCGAGCAAGAGATTCTGCAACGAAGCCCGGTGTTCGAATGCTGCTTCAGCCTCAATGTTCTATGGGTCGTAACTTTGCTTTGTTGCTCATCCGTTTGTGGGCAGGGTCCTGGTCCGTTAGTTCGCAGATCGGGCGACGTGTGTGCTTGAAAGAATCCTGTTGGTTCGACAGTGTGGAAGCCTGCTACAGACCCACGTGCTTTGAGCACAAGGGTTTGCAGAGCGATTTTTTCTGTGACTTTACCACAAAAAAAACCATCTCGCCTCGCACTGCCCCCACCCCTGTTTCGGCATGTGTCATCTGTTGTCGGGGATCAGAAAGCGATGCAGAGAACCCATCCTCAGCCAAACCCAAACCGAAGAAACTTTCAGCTTTCGGTCAGGGCGAGGAGGTGCCTCTGTGCCCGCGCTGCTCGCTGCCGGTGGGCGAGTTCGCTTACCAGGGCCGTGAGGGCAAGCAATCGTGCGTGCACACGGAGTGCATGGCCCAGGTCATGTCTCAGGAGGCGCAGCGCGAGGAGGACGCACGGGTGAAGCGAGAGAATGTGAAGAAGGAGAAGAACCGCCGCGAGTATGACATCGGATGGCGCATGGACAGCGTGCCGAAGAGTGCCCAGTGGGCCGAGCGGATGGGCTGCAGACCCGCACCGCAGGGGCTCTGCTGCCTCGTGCTTGATGAAGCCTCCCGCACGGTCAAGGTCGCAGCCACTGCGGAGCCGTCTGCTGCAGTGAACTTGGAGTACCTGCTTCTGGCACTCAAGGTCCGCAAGACCGCATCCCGCGAGCCCCTCTTCTCCTTGGACCCAGTGGACCCGCAGAATTTGGAGAAAACTCCACAGAAGAAGGTTTACGAGCCGAGCTGGCTTGCAGGAACCAGCGTGGGTGATGTCATGTTCCAAGCCGATTACTTCCTCAAGGAGCTTGCGCTCGGAGAGTACGACATGCCGGCGGCAGCCTCAGTGCATCCGGCAGCGAGGTATGCTTCGGCGGCTAGGCCGGCTAGGCTTAGCTGGCTTAGCTGCTTGTTCTGAGGTGGTTGGCATGCTGAGCGTCTTTGACTGGTCCGAGATGAAGGACAAGGACAAGAGTTGGGCAGGACGTGAGTGGTACGTGGTCAAGAAAGCGGAGATCCGCATGGCCGAGGACAACACACTGATCCCGCACGTGAAGATGGGAGTCGAGGCTCGGGAGCAGGTGGTGACGAAGAAGGGCCTGGAAGATGCCGCAGTGACACTGCCGCACCATCCCCTGAAGAAGTTCGCGGATGCCTTCACACGCAACTTCGACTTGATCGCCGAGCGCAAGAGCGTGGTCTTCCACCTCCGAGAGCTTGCGAAGGCTTCGGCCATGGCCAAATACCTCATCGACTCCAAGGCGCGTCTGGACCCAACATGGTATGCCCTGGCTGACGAGATCGTGAAGTCTACCGAGAAGGAGGCTTACCCTCAGATCCCGCAGCTCTGGAACATGCGTGGCAACTCCCGCATCAAGCTCAAGGAGGGCCGGCTTGTGGACATGGTGACAGGTGGCCAGAGCAATCTGCAGGCCATCTATGGCGGTGTTGAGTTTGGCCTCGACCGCTTCGAGCTCGCCCAGCGTCACGCGCTCCAGGGCCAAAAGCCGAGCGTGCCGGGAGTGCAGCTGGCGCAGTCAGGCCGACCCATGTTCATGCCACAGCGATTCCAGCTGGGGCAGCGGCCGGAGATGCCACAGGGTGTCGACCTGAACTTGGACAAGTTCTCCTTGTCGACGGAGGAGCGCTTTAATGGCCGTCTTCCGCCCTGCAGTGGGGGTGTGGGCTCACTGGAGGCAAAGACTGTGCTGGGCCGGGCTTTCCTGCAAGCTTTGCAGCAGAAGTCCTTTGCCGTAAAGCCAGAAGATCAGAGCCTCCTGCTGAACATCTTCAAAGTACCCCAGTGCGATCGTGTCGAGGAGGGCGATGCTTTCATTCCACCGGATCCCAATCTCGAGTACCTCACCAAGGTCCGCAGCCTCGTCGGGGAGGAGAAGACTCTGCGCGAGCGGCGTAAGCAGCGCTTCAGCGACAAGTCCTTCGCAGTGGCCAATCCGGGCTTGGACTTCCCACGCTCCTGGACTCCACGCTTCCAGGTCGAGTTGGAGGGCCGCGCGCAGACGGCACCTACGAAGTTTGGCCTAAAGAAGCTGGAGGTGGATGAGGCATTCAAGCGCGGGCTGCTGGAGAACGTCCTGCCGGCTGGCGCCCCTGAGTTTAACCAGGTCACAGAGGACGGCATCGTCTTCCGCATCTACAAGATCGGGAGCTTGGAGGTGGGGAGGGAAGGGGGGGGAAGAAGTGCTGCTATAAGTCATCTTTCAGTGATACCAAGTCCTTCGCCTCATACACGTGCAATCGTCACGTGC